CCCCCCCCCCACCGACGTTGTAAAGCTCGTTTTGGACATGACAACTTGTACTTCTCATTGTACATAAACTTATTTTTGTGAAGTGAATCATAACAATGCTTATTATATACTTTTTGCCTTGTTATAAAGTATACATCTATGCTAATATTCATCAGAGTACTTTATCTTTCTAAATATTTGCTAATATTAAGTCAAGAATTTCAACAATATTTGTATTTTAAAATATTTTAAATTTATCCATAGAACTTGTATTTTAAAACATGTTTTGATTTATGGAATAACTTTTCTTTTTTTTTTGTCTTTTCTTTTTTTGGTACTGAGGATCAAACCCAGGAAGTCGTATTTGCTAGGCAAGCACTTTGCCACTGAGCTACATCCCAGCCCCCCATGGAATAACTTTTAACTTTGGCTTTTAGTGAATTTAAATTTCATATTAGACAAAGATACAACTTACTGTATGTGTTGGAATATTCTGTAGTTGTCTTTCATATGGGCACATTACCTGAAAAATAAATCAAGGAGAGTCTTGCTTTTGCCTGAGGCTATTTCCATTCCTTGAACCCCTGTAACTGGGATTACAGGCATGTACCACCATACCTTTCCAAGAGAACTTTTTAATATATCAAGATATATTAGAAATAGATAAGATAAAACACAATTGTGGGAACATATACTAACTCATACATGTTTATTTGTGGGGATGTGATATGACCAGAAAGTGATTATACTTTATAAATGTCTTAGGTCAAGCTTAAATAATGATTATTTTAATAAAATATTTTAATGACTTTAGATCATAATCGTATACATGCCACAGATGTCCTACATGCAGTTTGGTATCTGACAACACGGCCAATTCCAGGCTTACAACAGATCCATAACAATCATGAAACAGGAAATGAAATAGGTATGTCTTCCTATAAGTTCTTATTTTAATTATTTGATTAAATATAATCAAGCTGTCTAATTTCATTGCCTCTTCAATATTTTTCTTTAACGTCTGGTACATAACAGAATTACATAAACTATGATATGTAATACTGACAAAAAAATTTTAAACCTATTAATCCGCTTAAAAGCTAGATTTAGATCTAGTAGTTCTGGGTTTACCTTGTTGCTGTCTCTTTCCCATCCTGTTGCTCTCCTCGCAGAGGTAGCCATTATTCTGAACATTGCAATAATTATTTCTTTGATTTTTTTTTAGTTTTTGGTGCATTCCATGGGTGTATTATGTATAAGATATATAGAATTACCAACCTAAAAAGAATATATTTAAAAGTTTCACATAACTATTAAAAAACTTTGTGATCAATCAAATCAGCTTCCAAAAGTAAATAATAGTCCAAATTATAGGTATAATTATTTCAGTAACTATAATTAATTATAACACAATTCTTGTATTTTGGGATATAAAGGGGTGGAGGGGATACTCCAATAATATGCATAAATCAGAATAGAATTTATTGATGCCAATACTTGAGAAGTGATAATACCATAGTAATCTTTGTAAATGTAATTAATTCGGCCCCATTTTACATTTTAGTAGTTAAGTTTAATGGATTTGCTTCATGTCATGTTCCTTTTTGTCTACCATCTCCATTTACTTTCTAGTGTCCTTTGTTCCTTTCAATGATTCTGTCCTTTCATTGAATATCATTTTCTTTGATTTTTTTTTGGTTTATAAATAGGATCACTTTTGTCTCAGAAAAACATTTTCATATTTCAGCATGTACAAAGATATAATTCCATCATATTTGTATTTTCTGTTCATAAATCAGCCTTTGGTCTTACTGTATGATGTAATATGTGAATGTAACTTCTTCCTTTTCCCTTTGTTGATTTTTAGTGTTTTTATTATAATACATCCTGGTGATTTCGGTAGTGTTCATTGCTCTTGGACATAGCCATGTCCAATAGGGATATAGTGGTGTAAGATATGTGGAGGGACAAGTTTTCCTAAGTTCAGGGACAACTGATAAATTAGAAACTCTACTTAAAGAGCTCTTGGGATTCTGAAAACAAATTTATATCTGAATACTGTTGCTCTAGTCCATTGACTCTAAGGCTATAGAATTGATGTCTAGAAAATGGGAAGCATGTAAGGCCGTTTAAAGTTTTTAAGTTTCTAATTTTTTAATATGGCCTCCAATAGATATAAAAGAGCTTTTTCTCTTACAGATTTGGGTACTTTGTGGAGTCTTTAGAAAAAACAAACAAGAATCAGATTATAAATCTATTTTGAGACAAATGCAAACCATCTTCCTAAAACAACTATTCTTTCTACAGAAATTCTGCTATGTTATTATTCTGGTAGATACTGAATACTTAGCCAGTGACTTTATGCTTATCACGTGACCTGCCCATAATGAACTTGGTGCTGTTTGACTAAGTTGATAGGTGCAGTCATCAAGGAGAGGAGTTTTATATATTGAACTACTCCTGGAAGCATAAGTTCAGTCTCCTATGGTACAGATTCTTAATACATTGACACTCCTTTTCTAATGTATGTAGAATTTAACGGAAAGAGAAGGACCAAAAGATGAGTGTTACTAATAGCTCTTCCCACTATGCCAGTATCTTTTGGCATACATCCACCCAAGAGTATCCTTTAATTGATTGGCATAGAGAACTAAGTTTTCAACCCAGACCCTGGAAAGGGTTATGCAAAATGGGAAACTGAGATAGATAGGCATCTGGCCACTTTGAGTCCTCTGTGCTTTTGAACCAATAGATAAATGATAAAGAAGGGGGATTCACCTAGACAGTGAGAAGCATGCCTGAGGAATCAGCCAATATGCCCATCAACCAAAGACAGACAGACAGATGCACACACACACACACACACACACACACACACACACACACACGATAATTCAGTCATTTTCATGGTTGCATTTATTATCATTTCTGTGTTTAGGATTCCTTTAAGAATCTTCTTGGCATTGGTTTAGTCATTGTGAATTGTTTTAGTTTTTGCTTATCATGAAAGGTTTTTAATCTTAATTTTTTTTATTTCTCTTTCAATTCTGAAGATTAGGTTTACTGTGTAGAGTAATTAGGGCATGAAATAGATCATTCCATGCCCTCCTAGCTTTTAAACTTTATGTTGAGAAAATCAGCTCTTTATATCTGTCTTCATATATGATGTGGTGTTTCTTTTTTTCAGCTTTTGTTTTAAGTATATTATGAAATTGAGTGATTCTATTCCAGTATTTTCTATTTGGAGTCGCATAGCCTCCTGTACGTGGACAATTATCTCATTCTCAAAATTTGAGAAGCTTTCTGCAATTAATTTATTGAATGTTTCCAGTAACTATAGCTTAAACCTCTTCTTTATACCCATGAGTCATAGATCTGATCTCTTAATGGTATCTGAAGAGTTTTGCATATTCCATGTGTTTCATTCATTTTGCTTTAAAATATCATTGTCTGATTTTTCTAACAAATGCAACTTATTTTTAAGACTTACAGGTTGTATTCTATTTGATCCAGTCTTCTGAGGAGGTTTGCAACAGAGGTTATTTGACTTATAAATTTCTAGAATTTCAATTTCATTTTTTAAATATCTTAGAATTTCTATATATTTATTAAATTCCATTTTCATATTTTGCATTGCCTTCCTTATTATATTCAGCTGTTTATTTGCACCCTCTTTGAATTCTTACAAAGGATTATATTCTCTTTTAATTCATTGAGGTGTTTGTACATGTCCTCTTTGTTAATCATTCTTACCATCTTTCTTATTAAGTAGTTGTACAAAGACATTACAATTCCATAAGTTGGGTTATCAGAACAATGCTTCTTGATCAGTGTCACCCTTCTATCATTCTCCCCCATTTTCGTCCTCCTTGCCCTACCTTCAAGTTACATAGTTCAACTTTTACATAATGTACATTGACTATAATGATTAAATTGGCCTACCCTTTTTCCCTTCATTCATGTTCACCTACTTTTATCCTTCCCCCAAAGGCATGTTTTCCACTTTCTGGTATTCATTGTGGTAAACTACATTAGTTACTCAGAGAAGTCACAACTTTGGATACCTCCCATAAATATAGCATCTTTTAATCAGTTTGTTTGTATGTAAACATATAGAGCCCTGTTATGTTATCATACGTAGCTGTATTTTACATCTTGCTTCCACATATGAGAGAAAACATGCACTGTTTGTCCCTCTGAGACGGGCTTACATAACATGATATTTTTCTAGGTCTCTCCATTTTCCTACAGATGACATTACTCTTTCTAGTGAATGAGTAAAATGTCATTGTATATATGTACCAAGTTTCTTTTTTATATTAATTTTTGTTACATATATACATTCGTGTATATCAGATCCTAATATGTAAGTTTAAGCAATTATTGAGTAGATATTTACCATTTTTCTTTTTAAATATATGTTTTTATAGTTCTATGTGAAATTCAGAAGGATATGACATGATGAAATTCAAATTATTGACACTGATATTAATAATTTGTCTTAGAAGTTTGCTTTCATATATCCTTTTGCATACATTTAGTTTTTAAAAAATATTTCAGAAATAGGTTTTTCATATTTATTTTAAAAGTTAATTTCTATAAAAAATGGCATGAAAATAATGAAATACAGTATTTCTGGAGCATTAAAGTCACTGTGTTAAACAGAATTGTTGTGATAACAGAGAATCAATTAAATTAGGCTCAAAAAACATTGTGTATTCAACAAACTAAGTCATTTCTAGTTTCCATAAACAAGGACATTCATTCTCTCTTTCTCTCTCCACCTCTCCTTCTCTCTCCCTCCTACTTTCCTTTGTTTCTCTTCCTCTCCCTTCTTTCTCTCCTTATTGGCATAAATTAGTTTTACACAGGGGAAATTTTGTGTGTCTTATATCTTTGGTTTTATGTGCTCTTTATTCCAAATAGTTCCTTTTTTATAATTTCATAAGCTTTCATTATCAAAAATAACAGCATGACTATCTAGATAAAGCCAACAAAGTACATAAAAATACAAGTGCTATTAAAGACCAAAAGTACCAATGGAATAGAACTGAAGACTCAGAAATGAACCCACAGACCTGTAGCCACCAAATCTTCGATAAAAGGAGCTAAAAAAATAGAATGGAAGAAAGACAGTCTCTTCAGTAAATGGTGCTGGCAAAATTGGTTAATCACCTGTAGCAAACTAAAGCTTGGTCTTTATATATCATTCTGCACCAGAATCAACTCCAAATGTGTCAAAGACCTAGAAGTAAAAGCAGACACCCTGAAAACATTACAGGGAGGAATAGGATAAACTCTAGGGCTCCTTGGCATAGGCCAAAATTTTCTTAATGAAGACCCAGAAATACAACAAATCAAAGCAAGGTTGTACAAATGGGATTGCATGAAACTGCAGAGCTTCTGCCTGGCAAAGGACATAGCTAGCAAGATCGATAGAAAGCCCACAGATTGGGAGAAGATCTTCACTAGCTATACAATGGACAAGGGCCTCAAATCTAGAACATATTTAGAACTCAAAAAATTAGATCCCCCCAAAACAAATTCTCAAAGAAACAACTGCCCCATTAATAAGTGGGAAAAGACTTAAAGAGATACCTCTCTGAAGAGGAAATAAGAATGGCCAATAGACACATGAAGAAATGCTCAACTTTTCTAGCCATAAAAGAAATACAAATCAAGACAACATTGAGATTCCACCTTACCCCAGTTAGAATGGCTATAATCAAGAAATCTAAAAACAACAGATACTGGAGGGAATGTGGCCAAAACAGAACCCTACTGCACTGTTGGTGGGAATGTAAACTTGTTCAACCACTTTGGAAAGCAGTATGGAAGTTCCCCAAAAGACTCCACATAGAGCTCCCCTATGACCCAACAATCCCACTTTGGGCATTTATCCAAATGGTCACAAAAGGCCATACTAAAGCTATCAGCACAACTATGTTTATCACAGCATTATTCACCATAGCTAAGATGTGGAACCAACTCAGATTCTCCTCAGTAGATGAATGGATCAAGAAAATTATATATATATATATATATATACACACACACACACACACACACACACATATGTATATATATGTATATGTATATGTATGTATGAATTCTATGCCTCCATTAAAAAGAATGACATTGCCCCATTTGTTAGGAAATGGAAAGACTTGGAAAAAATTATATTAAGTAAGCCAGGCCCAAAGAAACATAGGTCCCATGAGTTCCCTCATTTGCAATAACTAGTATATGTCTAGGATAATCTTACCAGACAAGCAGAAAAGGTCAAAAGCTATGTACATATGACTATATAAGATGATGCTAAGCAAAATGAACCTGAAGATATGGGCACAAGAGATTTTTTCTTTTGTTGCTGTTGTTTTTAATGTACTAAGTGATTTTTTTGTTTCTTTTGATGTTCTTCCTCCATGGTATAACCCTGTTGTCACTGTATTTGATTCTGGTGCCCTGCATCTTGTATATACATTTTTCTAATTTGGGGAGGGGAAGGGAAATAACAAAATGATGAAACAAGGGAAGTGACAGTAGGGGAAAAACAAAGGAGGGGTAACAATGCTCGACAAGAAATGTACTCATTGCCTTACTTATGTAACTGTAACTCCTTTGTAGAGTATCTTTACAATAAAATATTTTTAAAAGAATCAAAAGTATAGTATATAGAGAGAACATATTATTCCTAACAAGGGAATAAAATAGAGTTGACTGAAATATTTCCTGTTTTCCATGTTTCCTCTCTGTATAGTCTTCATTCCATTTGTTTATTTATTTGTTTGCTTATTTGTTTGTTTGTTGTTAGTTGTGGGCCTTGAACTCTGGGCTTGGATGCTGTCCTCGAGCTCTTCAGCTCAAGACTAGCACTCTATCACTGAGCCACAGCACCACTTCTGGTTTTGTGGTGGTTTATTGGAGATAAAGCTCTCAGGGACTTTCCTGTCCCAGCTGGTTTGAACTGTGATCCTCAGATCTCAGCCTCCTGAGTAGCTAGGATTACAGGTGTGAGCCACCAGTGCCCAGCTTCCATGAGTTTATAAAAACTTTCATGGAAAAAAGAAAGGAAAGAAGAGTTATAGAGTTAGTGTTGGAAATGAAATTTAACCTTTCTGGATTGGATTTGAAAAGCATGTGTATTGAGGGTCCTTGTTTGATGAAAAGATAAAATCCTAATCTTCATGTTTTTAAGAAAAATTAATTTTAAATTTCATTTTTTCTTAGATCCAATTTCCTGGCCATTATCGAGCTTTAAATAACAAATATTTAGAAAGTCATATTTTTAAAAAGTGTTAGCCTGAGTAAGAAAGCATCAAATGTCCTATGAGAGTAGGAATAATAGAGTCCTCTGATGGCCTGCAAAGTTCACAACTCCAGGATTATATTTAGCATTATTTTTATATCAGTTGTGTTGGAAAATGTGTATTCCTTTAAAGCCCATGGTGTACATTTTAAGATAAATAATCATATTACCTATGGGAATTCTGTCTTTAACATAATTGTGGGGAAGATAGCTTCTAATTCTTGTTTATTTTGCTACTTACTGTTTCTCAGATTCTGATGGTAGAGTTACTCGTGGGCAAATTGCTTACATTTCTTCAAAGAGCTGCTCAATTCCAGATGAGAGTTATGGCTGCCTGTCTTCAAACATTCCTGCATTAGAATTGATGGCTTTGTATGTGGCAGCTGCCATGCATGATTATGATCACCCAGGGAGAACAAATGCATTTCTTGTGGCTACAAATGCACCTCAGGTAGGAACTTCTTTTTAAGAAAGTTTGACAAGTAATTTTGAATATTAATCACTCTTCTGTACATCCCTTTATAAGCCATTCTTTATTTGAGTCCTAAAGCCATTCTGGGGCTGGGAAGGTGGCTCAGTGGTAGAGCGCTTGCCTTGCATGCATGAGGCCCTGGGTTCGATTCCCCAGCACTACATAAGCAAAAAGAAAAAAGCCAGAAGTGGCACTGTGGCTCAAGTGGTAGAGCGCTAGCCTTGAGGTGAAGAGCTGAGGGACAGAGCCCAGGCCCAGAGTTCAGGCCCCACGGCCGGACCTCCCCCCACCCAAAAAAAAAGCCATTCTGTCTCTCCCTAAAGCCCTACATTGTAATTAATTGAATAAAAACATGACTATAGAGTGTAACAATGCTCCATAGGAAATGGACTCATTACCTTGCCCATGTAATTGTAATCCCTCTGTACAGTATCTTTACAATAAAAAAATGTTTAAAAAAGAAGAAAAAAAGATTTCTCCAACACACCTGTTCCTGCATCCTTGCCAACAGTTTTAATGATTACTGTTCTCAATAAAGAAATAGGAACTTTAAAAAAAACATGATTATAGTAAGTTAGGGGAAAAATCACTTTTCTTGAACTAAAGTAAATTGTTTATGACATAAATAATATAAAATCATATATAATGACAAATCATATAAATCATTGCCTTGTGAAAATTTTGGAAACCTTTCTGAACACATTTTTGTCTTTGATCAAACTGATAAAACTGGCTAAATCTAAGCCATAATATGGCTAAAAGCTATAAATTAAAGGATAAATACTAATCTTTCAGTTGCTCTCCCCATTCTGTTAAAATTTGCCTTAATATGCAGACCCTATGTTTTTTCATTATGAACATATTAATATATGTTTGTACTTCTTGTGTAATAATATTACTTTTGTATCCAATATATCTGATCCTTTAGAGTCATAGTTTAAATAAAGTGATAGGAATTTCCAACAATTGAATGTAATCAATGATTACATTCTCATACTAGTAATCTGATTGGACATGAGGACTTAGAACTATATATATGGTTATAGAAAAACTAAATGTTGTTGTTGGTTCCTGAAATTTTATACATGTATTTCTAGCCACATGCCTTAGAAAAAGTAGAGACTCAACTGGATGTCAGTGACTCACACCTGTATTCCTAGTATTCCAAGTAACCTTGCCAGGCTGAGAATGGGAGGATAGCAGTTTGAGGACAGCCCAACCTTGAAAGCTCTCAAGATCCCTTTCAGTCCATAGCTGGATATACTAACACTACAGCTATACTGTATTATCACTGATAACAGTGCATGTTAACCCAAGCTATGTGGGAGGCTGAGAGTAGGAAGATCATGGTTCCAGGCTAGCTCAGGCAGAAAAGTTCAAGAGACTCCATGTCCATATTTCTTCTCTTTCAAGATATCACAAATAATGAATTCTTTTTGTTAACCCTCATACATGCAAAAAATTAAAGCAATGATACACAAATATAATTTATACAAACGGTATATTGAAAACAGCTACCTAGCAAGGGTGAAGCTTTGGTTCAAATAGCAGTACCACTAAGGTATATAGTCTGGAAAAATAGCTGTTAGATCTTGGCATTTCTTTACCATGAAGTTCTGGATTTGTGTGAAAATGTCTAGTAATCCCATATCTCCTTTTGTCTTAGTTACCACCCTTGTTTTACTCAAACACATTTAGATAACTTTCACAGGATGATGGGATATATTGTTTTTAGTTATTGGATACCTGAGAATCTCTTTGTTTTTTATCTTAATGGTTCATGCTCAGTGGTAGCTAGTTTAGAATGCTGATTTAAAAATAACACCCTTGCCGGGTACCAGTGCCTCACGCCTGTAATCCTAGCTGAGAAGGCTGAGATCTGAGGATCGTGGTTCAAAGCCAGCCTGGGCAGGAAAGTCTGTGAAACTCTTATCTCCAATAAACCACCAGAAAACCGGAAGTGGTGCTGTAGCTCAAGTGGTACAGTGCTAGCCTTGAGCTGTAGAGCTGAGGGACAGTGCGCAGGCCCAGAGTTCAAGCCCCACGACTGACAAATAAAAATAAAAAAAAATACCCTTTTATCTCCTGGTTTACTCTGTCCAAGCACTAATATCATAATTATCTTTCTCCTCCTTCCCCTCTTCTTCCTTTTCTCTCTCCCTTTTCCATTCTCTCTTTCTCTCTCTCCTTTTTTCTCTCTCCCCTACCTGCAGCTTCTCTCCTACCCCATACAAACACATTTGTTGATTGCTTTTCTTGCTTTACTAGAATGTAAATTCCATGAAGGTAAATTCATTTATTTAACAATATCTAAATAGTGTTTGATCTATACATTATGCTCTATTGAGCTAGGAGTTTACTTCTTCTTGATGAGACAATGCTATTTTGATGGTTTATAAATTTTCATCAAATTTTAGCATAACTTTATCAAGACTATTAGAAATTGACCCTGTAGGTAGTCTTTGAAGTGAACCTTTCTCTTTGGAATTTATGATGTCTATTAAGATTAGTATGAAGTTCAATGCTGGTGGCTTATGACTTTAATTCTAATAAGGAAGCTGATATGAGGATCGTGGTTTAAAGCCAGTGTGAGCAGAAAAATCTGTGACTCTTATCTCCAGTTAACCAATTAAAAGCCAGAAAACAGAGTGCTAAAGGCTCAGAGACAGCACCCAGTCCCTGAGTTCAAGCCCCAAGATTGGCATGCAACACATACACATATCAAGCATTGTTACCTCCTCCTTTGTTTTTCCCTTATCATTCCTTCCCTCCCTGCCTTCCCAACTACTCCCTCCCTCCAAAGTGGTAAAGTTCGTTTTCTACATAGTGTCTTATACATCTCATTGTTACAAAACTGGGTCAACCTGTATCCTTGTATCAGCATTTTGTTATTTCCCTTCCCCTCCTCAAATTAGAAAAATGTACATTACTTTTCTGGGGCTAGGAAGGTGTCTCAGTGGTAGAGTGCTTGCCTTGCATGCATGAGGCCCTGGGTTCAATTCCTGAGCACCACATAAGAAGAAAAAGACGGAAGTAGCACTGTGGCTCAGTGGTAGAGCGGTAGCCTTGAGCTGAATAGCTGAGGGACAGTGCCTAGGCCCAGAGTTCAGGCCCCATGACAGACCAAAAAAATATATATATTATATATTATATAATATATATTATATATATTAATATATATTATATATATTACTTTTCCCACACTTGGGGCACAATATTATATGTACAAAGAAAATGAAATTTGGAGACAACCCTTTCATTTACTAGCTATATGTGCTGGAAGCAAAGGTATTATCTTAACCTCTTTGCAGTTTAGTGTACACATTTATAAAATGATCACCTTTTTCATAGATATAAAAACGGTAAAATATCTAGTAGATAGTAGGTACTCATTCTATTTTTACCGTCTTCCTATTTATTTCCTATTTTTGAGATTCCTGCTTAATTTTTCTTTATTCATTTTCAGGCAGTTCTGTACAATGATAGATCTGTTCTAGAAAATCATCATGCTGCATCAGCTTGGAATCTATATCTTTCTCGACCAGAATACAACTTCCTTCTTAATCTTGATCATGTGGAATTCAAGCGTTTTCGATTTTTAGTCATTGAAGCAATCCTTGCCACAGATCTTAAAAAGCATTTTGACTTTCTTGCTGAATTCAATGCCAAGGTTTGTTATGCAAATTTGTGCCTGATTTTCAAAAGGAAAAACATTGTTGTCAGTGCTACTGATGAAAGTTACTTTTAATTTTGTTCAATTAAAATTAATACTACTCATTAAGAATAAACACGATACAAGTAATACATCTATTTATAATGACTTTTAATTAATTCAAAAAACTATTGTTATATTTTCTTTTGGTATATATATTTCACTGATTGATTTTATTTTATTGATTTTATTTATTGATTTATTGATTTTATTGGTTTTCTTTTATATAATGAAGAACCAATTAATTATGTCAAAAGATTTTATAGGCAGATTTGAGAATGTTATACACACTGCTATGTAATATATTATATGTGGTTTTTGTTTGTGTCCATCCTGGGGCTTGAACTTAAGGTTCTTAGTGCTGTCCCTGAGCTTTTTTTGCTCAAGGCTAACATTCTACCATTTGAGCCACAGCTCCATTGGTTTTGGGGAATAGTTAATTAGAGATAAAAGTCTCACAGACTTTCCTGCCTAGTCTGGCTTTGAACTGTGATCCTTAGATCTCAGCTTCCTGATTAGTTAGGATCATAGATTTGAGCTACCAGTGCTAGGCCAAAGATGAAAAGAAGCTAATTTTGCCTGCTTTGCCACCCACTTGTTACACCTTGTTTGTATTAGCGAGTCTTTAGCTAATATTTAGGAGAAAAATCCCTACTCTTCCTCTTGAGAATAATTAACTCATTCAGTAACAATTAGAAATTCCCTCTAAGGGCATTCATTATGCTGGGGAAGAGTGAGAAAAAAACAGGCTAGTCTCCCCCGTGAAAGAATTACTATTTACTAGAGAACAGAGAACTGCTCGCCTAGCATAATGTTGTATTTGGTAATATAGCCTATCTCTCAGAAATTTTGGGGTGAAAAAGTTAAAAACCTTGCTTTAGATTGCTGAGAATCCTGCCAGAAATCTGCTGTTTTCCTCGAATATTTTTATAATGATTTTCTCCACCTTCAGCAATAGAAGGTAATCAGGGAGTATTAGATAGAACTCCCTCTATATGAGATCATCACAATATTAGTAAGATGTTTAGCTGTATATTTATATTCATTTTTTTTTTTTTTTAATGCAGACACTGTGGCTTGAACTCAGAACCTGGGCATTGTCTCTTAGTTTTTCCACTCAAGGCTGATTCTCGACCACTTGAGCCACAGCATCAATTCCAGCTTTTTGGCAGTTAATTGGAGATAGGAGTCTCATGGACTTACCTTGTCTGAACTAGCTTTGAATCAGAATCTTTAGAGCTCAGCTTCTTGAGTAGCTAGGATTACAGATGTGACTCACAAGCACCAGACTCTTACCTCTTGATAGCTGTAACTTTTAGAGTGAAAACAATGGACTTTAGGTTAATTAATTTTCTGATAGAAGAAATGTTTATATTTGTATATCATTCTACAATGAAAATTAGCAAATGCAGATAAAAGTACATAACATATAGGATATATAATACAATAGAAAACACTAATGATCTTTTTAATTTTGGAAGTGATAAGATTTGAACTCAAGGTCTTGTAACAGTCTACCAATTGGATCATGCTCCTAGGCCTTTTCATTTTTAGTTAATTTTCCTCCAACCTTTTTTTTGGGGGGGGGGGCGGTCCGGTTGTGGGGCCTGAACTCTGGGCCTGGGCACTGTCCCTCAGCTCTTCAGCTCAAGGCTAGCGCTCTACCACTTGAGCTACAGCACCACTTCCGGTTTTCTGGTGGTTTATTGGAGATAGGAGTCTCATGGTCTCTCCTGCCCGGGCTGGCTTTGAACCGCGATCCTCAGATCTCAGCCTCCTGAGTAGCTAGGATTACAGGCGTGAGCCACCAGCGCCCGGCTTTATATTCGTTTTTATTTTTACTTAGTAACAAAAATTATTCTAAATGCTAAACTCACCTTTTGCAGGTGAAAGATTATCTGTTCAACACTCAATACATGTGAATCTGTATTTTGCAAGGATTAATGTTCTGATATTTTTCAGAAAACAGCCAAGAATAGGGCTCCTTTCAAAAGAGCCCTCCTTTTAAAAGCATTTCCCTATTTTCCTTACTAGTTTTCTCTCTTTTGAAACAGTGTTTCACTATGTAGCTGCAGGCTACTCTCAAATGAGCCGTGGAACTCAGGCAATTCTCAGGCAGTCTTCACAGGGCACTGATTGTGCCTATAAGGCCTATAATTGTAGCTGCTCTGGAGGCTGAGATCTGAGGGTGGAAGTTTGAAGTCAGCCCAGGCAGGAAAGCCCATAAGCCTCATCTTCAATTTGCTACCAAAAAGCCATAAATGGAGCTTTGGCTCCATGAATCCCTGAGCAGAAAAACTCAGGGCACTATGCAAGTCCCAAGACCAGCAACAACAATAAAAAAAATAATGGTCCTCCTGTTTTGACTTCCCAAGTGCTGGGACTGCATCATGTGTGCTACTACATCCAGCTTTAAGTATTTCTTTTTTTTTTTTTTTTGGTGGTACTGGGATTGAACTAAGACCCTCATGCTTGCTAAGCATGCATGTATCACTGGAGCCATGTTCCCCATTGGCTTAAATTTTTTTCCCCCTGTGGTGATGGTCTTCATAATTTTTCCTTTGACAAAAGCTTTGGTGTAAAAAATACATAATTACACTAAAGTTCAAAAGCTATAATTGGCCCATTCTCTTCTTTTTTTTGTGGCTGTCATGGGACTTGAACTCAGGGCCTATGCACTGCCCCTGAGCCTTTTCTCTCAAGGCTAGTGCTCTACCATTTTGACTCATAGTGCTACTTCTGATTTTCTGGTGGTTAATTGGAGATAAGTCTCTCAGACTTTTCTGCCGGGGTTGTTTTCAAACTGTGATGCTCAGATCTCAGTCTTAATAACTAGTATTACAGGCCTGAGCTATTGGTGCCAGGACGTTCTCTTCATTTTTTACTAAGAGAACTTTGGGTTCTTGAAGGGCCTAATAACTTTGTCTGTCTTAAAGAGATAATCCCATCTAGTTAAATAATGTTAAGGAATATTTTATATTTCTTATAAACAGGACACTTCGATTTATTAATCCTCATGGCACCATATAAATTGGTAGTGTGTTTCTAACTTTACAGATGAAGAATGTTTCAGTTAGATGTTGTAATTTTATTGGAGTCATGAAATGAATTAGTAAATCATTCTGAGTTAGGAGTTAAAACTAAAAAGATAAATTTCTAGGATTTGTGTTCTTTAAACTGTTATCACTTTGCCTTTCATAGTGAGAGCCAAATTCTTAGCTCTTTACGTGTTCTTTTTTAAGATACAAATAGTTATACTTTCACAATTTTATTAATATATGTGCATATATTTACTATGCATAAAATATGTCTATATATAGATTATAATTGTCATAATCTCAACTGTTAATACCCATAGGTGTTTGCTTTTAGAATGCTATGCTTTTTTTGAACTAAAATTCTCACAATACTTAAATGGGATGTTTAACTCATGCAGATTTATATTCTGGTATAAACTGATTAAAAGAATCATTTACTGAAATTTCTTCCTGTCATTTGAACAGGAAACAGTTTTAAGGTTGGTTGGCTAAAAAAATAGAAAACTCCTCATGACTTCAGAAACTAAAATAATTCTGTTTTTCCAAAATAGGCTAATGATGTCAATAGTAATGGTATAGAATGGAACAGTGAAAATGATCGCCTCTTAGTCTGCCAGGTGTGCATCAAATTAGCAGATATAAATGGCCCAGCAAAAGTTCGGGATTTGCATTTGAAATGGACTGAAGGCATTGTTAATGAATTTTATGAGCAGGTAAGTTGAAACACGAAATTTGTGGGATTTTTAAAAAATTTTAATTGTTATTATAAAGTTGATGTATAGAGGGGTTACTGTTACATAAGTTAGGTAAAGAGTACATTTCCTTTTGGCAATGTCACCCCTTACTTCTCTCTCTCTTTCTCTCACTCTCAGTTTTTCCCTCCCGTCCCCACCCACAAGTTGTATAGTTCAGCTTAGTGTCTAGTGAGTACTGCTGCATTTGTTTACCCTTTGTCCCTCCATTTCTGTGCATCTCCTGATTTGTGGGATGTTTTTAAAGAGGTTCCAGGTGAAATTCCAGGTAAAATTATTTTGAAGATTTGGATATCTACAGTAGGTGAAATCAGAGCTGCATTTGAAAAGGGTTAGAGTGTGTTACATTTGCTGAGATTCTTTTGTCTTTCTCACATCTACCTTTGCTGCCAAAATTCAAAGTAAGAAGAAGAACAACAAAAAGCTTACTGACAATCTGGGATGAATTCAATGTATTCTCAAGTATAGACAGTGATTGTAAAGTTCCTTTCAATTTGAGAATCTACAACATAGTACAGTTGATATTTAGATGAAGCAGTTTTTAAGTGATTTTGAAGTTTGCCCAGAATATATTTATATACTTAAAGACTAGCACCCTGCTTTCTTTTTAATTTTTATCCTCCCTCCCTCCCTCCCTCCCTCCCTCCCTCACTCACTCCCTCCCTCCCTCCCTCCCTCCCT